AGAAAGCTTTTTTAAAAATTCTTTTATAGTATTGCCACTAAAAAACACCAAAGGTTATAGTTTTATCATGTAGAAATACAAAGACTATATGAGTACAGAAATTAAATTAAGTTTTGAATTCCAGTTATTTTCAAATAATTTCATTATTGGTAAAATAGAGATGTGAAACCTGCCTTTCAAATGTCCTTCTTCCCACATGTATGAGAAGTGTTCTGTCTGTCCAAAGAAGGGAGTGTGGATTTTGTTCTTTTTACCACTGGGGTTGTTGATATGGTTGCATGTTAGGTTTAAGAGAGTCCCAATGGTGAGTTGGGTTTTAGGTATGTGGCACTAAACCATCTGGAGGCTAAGGCATACCTAGCAGAAACTGTGTGGCTCTAGACTGAAACTGAGAGCTCAGGATTAGAGAGCAAGTTTGAAGGGTTATCTGCTTAAAGGTGACAATAGCTATACCTGGGAGAGAGCTTTTCAAGAGGGAAAGTATAAAGGGAAATATATTAAAGGTTGACACCAGTCTTAAGTCCTGTTACAGATTATGGTTAGGGGTTTAGAAGAACTAGTGAAGAAGGCTGAAAAGAATGGTTAGAAAGATGAGTTTTTACCAAATTGCTGCAGCCTTACTAAAGTCACAGGAGAATTGTAATAGAGGCAAGAGGACTCCAAACGCCAAAGAAAGGTCAACTGACTGAAGGTCAGAGGTGAGACTTGTGGAAGTGGTGTTAGTGAGGGTTTTTTTTTTTTTAAAAAAAAAAAAGAACACTTAGAAGAAATTTTGAAGCTCCTCCAGGTTCAAAAGAATCATTACTCAACTCATTGCTATCAAGTCAGTTCCGACTCACGGTAACCGGAGAGAACAGAGTAGAACTTCCTCATAGAGTTTCCAAATCTGTAAATCTTCACAGAAGCAGGATGTCTTCATCTTTCCCCTACGGATTAGAGGGTGGGATTGAACATCAACCTCTTGGTCAGCAGTCAGGCCCTTTAACCACTCTGCTACTAGAGCTCTTTAGAAAGAGTCATTAGCATGGGATAATCGATATGTGTATTATATACTGTTCTTACAGCTGGCGACTATAAGCCAACACATTATTAGCCTAAATTGAGTTATAGAATAGATGTAAAAGTAATAAGGCCCCATTTCTTTCATTCATAATGTAAATGATATAAAGTGTTCTTTCCTCCTAAATTGTGAGGTTTAATTGTATTCTTAAATAATAAAATGAGTTCATGCAATTTGAAATTCAGATATCCTTATCCAAGAAACAGTGAAAATGTCATAAATTCAGAAAAGTTATAATTAGATTAAGAAGTACATCTAATTGAATTTGTTAAAAATTCACTGAACACCTACTATGAACCAGGCTCTGCTAGTTGCTGAGGGTAGAGAACTGTAGAAAACATGGGCCCTGTCCTCGAGGAGTCTACTCAATTCCAACTCATAGCGACCCCTCCTTGGGTTTCTGAGGCGGTATCTCTACGGATTGCCCAGTCTTTCTTCCAAGGAGTGGCTGGTGGGTTTGAACAGCCAGCCTTCTGATTAGCAGTCAAATGCCTTAAGCTTTATGCCACCAAAGCTCCCCCCAAGGAGTCTAGTAGGAAGAAAAAAATAATAATTACAGTGAAAAAAAAAAAAAAAAAAACACAAACTCACTGCTGTC